CGTTTCGTAGCTGACACGGTACAACACTTTTCTTTCGCTTACTTCACACGGCCAGTCATTTTGTTTACAAAGAAATGGTGTGCTATGCGCATGCGCTAGTAGAGGGAAATCCCTGAACAAAACGTTGGTCAGACAGGTAGAAATACCGATGATTTTCTTAGATTTAATCATTTTTATGAATCTATTTCAGCCAAATCCGATCGTTATTTTCCATAAGGAGTCTCACTTGATATGTTTATGAAGTATTTGAAAAAAAGACAAAAAATAAAGTTACTTCACCGTGATGCCCCTTTAATGCCTTTTCCTGATAGAATTATGACACAAATTATATGAGTACTGTAAACATTGCCATCTTGGTAGAACCAGGAAGGGATAGTGAATGTATAGATAAACAAAGTACATGAATATTGTATTTATTGCCATCTTGGATTAGGCTTGATTTATTGCACATAATACCTCTAATATAATAATTTGTTTTTATGATTATAGCATATATATCTACTGTGTCATTGTGTTGTATATTACAGCAAATTAAATATGAGTTAAAATCTGGCAGCTACGGTACTATTTTTCAGGAATTCTTAATTTTTCATTTAACACAATATTCTGTAAGGAATGTAAATTGAAATCCTTCCCGGCTGAGCTGTATCTTCCTCGAAGGTTTGGGTTTACCAAAGTTTGTGGTTGATACTGAAACTATAGTTCATTTAATAGTTGCACAACCTTTTAAGAGTAGAAGTTATCACAAGTTACAATGTGGGATGAAGAAAACTCCAACCAAAGGGTAACACATAATGCCTGTTTAACTTTACTTCTGCAAAGAATCACTTTTCTTTAAGACTCTCCTAGAAGATATTGTTTGCCAGTAAGATATAATTACGTTGTTTTCAGTTTATCCTGTGTGTCCGTAAGAATGGTAAGACAGTGTACCAGAAGGTCCTGACAGGGCGTAAGGGCAAGCACCTAAAGGCCTGGGATTGGGGATTCCCTACCCAGGATGCCACCTACCACGCACTCTACCCCCGTGCCTGGACAGTCTACGACATTCCTGAATACAAACTGCGTCTTGTTTGTCGTCAAATCTCCCCAATATTTCCACACGACTACAAGGTAAGGATTATTGTTTTGTCATAGTTATCATAGTATCTGGGTGGCTGCAATTAAGTCTTTTGGATTGCATGAGCCAAGACATTTCTTAAATCAAAAGAAAAATGTTTCTTAAAGTCATTTGTGTTGATGTTTGGACCCAATATAAAATTGAAACAAAAAAGTTGACTTAAACACTTTATAAATTAGAACATTTTTTATTATTTAATTCGAAAGCATGTGCTTGGCTTACCTGGTTTTCCAGCTGAAAAATATGGCTGAAGTTGGTTATTTTTCTACCACTGATCAGTTACCTAATGTATCTGTATGTGTCCTACAGGAGACAAGCTTTCCTATGGGAGTGTTTGTGTGGTCGGTGGAGAACAGTGGATCAGACCCATTGGATGTTAGTATCGCCTTTACCTTCAAAAACGGAACAGGCGCCAAAAGTGATACTGCTGGTGACTGTCATAACGAGGCCTTTGAAAGTGACGCTGAAGGACGTCAAGTTTCAGGTGTCCTCATTCATCACTCTCTCCGCGACATCAAGTGTACTTACGGAATCGCTGCTGCCAATAAGGTCTGTGAAGGTCAAATTTAACACAGATCATTAAAGTTTCAGTAATAAAATGAAGCCTCAGGGTTATGGCATCGATAGGTTGATGTAGCACTGTGTTATTAAAAGTAATGTTCATGTTAACTTTAAAGAGGAGTTCATGGAGATAAATTTTAAGACAATTTATATTGAGATGGTCATTTGAATATTGATTTTATTGTCGATCAAGATAATCGGTGACCTTATAACTCCAATACACTGTTCAGAAATTTCTCATTTGAATATGAAGTACATAGCGATTGTTAATGATGTTATCTTTAATGACCCTTACTGACCCAGACACATTATGAAATTGTTTATGACATCATGAACAATAGCGTCACCTTGAAAGGTCAATGTCAAGGTAGTTCTGCCTAAATTTGATTGTTACTCACATCACTTGTCCACAGACTCAGAGTAACATCAATTTTTGTGAACTCCCAAAACATAGGTCAAGACCATTGTTTTTTCTGTGATTTTAGCTTGTAGGATTAGTGTGGGGATAACTGTACTGTGTTTCAGCTTGTATGATTAGTATGGGGATATCTGTACTGTGTTTCAGCTTGTAGGATTAGTAGGGGGATAACTGTACTGTGATTCAGCTTGTAGGATTAGTAGGGGGATAACTGTACTGTGATTCAGCTTGTAGGATTAGTATGGGGATAACTATACTGTGTCTCAGCTTGTAGGATTAGTAGGGGGATACCTGTACTGTGTTTCAGCTTGTAGGATTAGTAGGGGTATAACTGTACTGTGTCTCAGCTTGTAGGATTGGATGGGGGTAACTGTACTGTGTTTCAGCCTGTAGGATTAGTATGGGGATAACTGTACTGTGTCTCAGCTTGTAGGATCAGTATGGGGATAACTGTACTGTGTTTCAGCTCGTAGGATTAGTATGGGGATAACTGTACTGTGATTCAGCTTGTAGGATTAGTAGGGGGATAACTGTACTGTGATTCAGCTTGTAGGATTAGTAGGGGGATAACTGTACTGTGTTTCAGCTTGTAGGCTTAGTATGGGGATAACTGTACTGTGTCTCAGCTTGTAGGATTAGAATGGGGATAACTGTACTGTGTCTCAGCTTGTAGGATTAGAATGGGGATAACTGTACTGTGTTTCAGCTTGTAGGTTTAGTATGGGGATAACTGTACTGTGTTTCAGCCCGTAGGATTAGGATGGGGATAACTGTACTGTGTCTCAGCTTGTAGGATCAGTATGGGGATAACTGTACTGTGTTTCAGCTCGTAGGATTAGTATGGGGATAACTGTACTGTGATTCAGCTTGTAGGATTAGTATGGGGATAACTATACTGTGTCTCAGCTTGTAGGATTAGTAGGGGGATAACTGTACTGTGTTTCAGCTTGTAGGAGTAGTATGGGGATAACTGTACTGTGTTTCAGCTTGAAGGATTAGTATGGGGATAACTGTACTGTGATTCAGCTTGTAGGATTAGTATGGGGATAACTATACTGTGTCTCAGCTTGTAGGATTAGTAGGGGGATAACTGTACTGTGTTTCAGCTTGTAGGAGTAGTATGGGGATAACTGTACTGTGTTTCAGCCCGTAGGATTAGGATGGGGATAACTGTACTGTGTTTCAGCTTGTATGATTAGTATGGGGATAACTGTCCTGTGTTTCAGCTTGTAGGATTAGTATGGGGATAACTGTACTGGGTCTCAGCTTGTAGGATTAGTAGGGGGATAACTGTACTGTGTCTCAGCTTGTAGGATCAGTATGGGGATAACTGTACTGTGTTTCAGCTCGTAGGATTAGTATGGGGATAACTGTACTGTGTTTCAGCTCGTAGGATTAGTATGGGGATAACTGTACTGTGTCTCAGCTTGTAGGATTAGAATGGGGATAACTGTACTGTGTTTCAGCTTGTAGGATTAGTATGGGGATAACTGTACTGTGTTTAGATATTTACATTAGTATATATATTGTAGTGATTCTGCAGCAAATGTCAGTTGAGCTAGCTTTTCTCCGTGTCACCATTAAAACTGAATTAGTTACAGTTTAATCATAATATACTGTTGCAAATATTACAACATTACAGGGTTATTCCCTAAACAGCTGTAGAAACAACAGAAATATTTCATTTTGTTTTTTAATCTGGATTGTAACTTACTTCAGGAGGATGTGCATGTGAGTCACAAGTTGCACTTTGACCCTAAAGGTAATGGCCGTCTGCTTTGGGATGATTTGGCTGAGGACGGACAACTCACCTCTACTCCAGGTACAGATCTTACTCACCACTACCCAAAATGAAATGCTTGCCATTGCTTGGCAAATTAGATTTTCTCAATTAATTGTTTTTAATTTTGCTTTGATAACGAATTTGCATTCACATCTCATTATCATTTTGAAGGGAATGTAAGTTCAGTTTTGAAAACTATAAAATAGCACTTTGTTTCACAGGTAAAAAATGTCAACTAGTAATGTGATGGCACATTTTTTCTTTCAATTTCATGAAAGTTAATTAATACTAATTATTGTTTGCATGAAATGTTTGGTTAAAATCTTATTTTGAAAGATAGACGTGTCCCTATTTTATAAAGAACATCTGCTAAAATGTTAAACATTAATGATTAAATAACAGAAGCCATCATTTCGGGCACCATAGGGTGTGCCTGTCTTTTGATGCTAATAACATACTTCACTATATGATAATTAGGATGAGGAGGAAAACTCATTATGATTAAACTGTCTAATATTTCCTGTTGCAAATCTAAATTAATCCTGAAACATTGCTATATCCTGAATATTGTGTGAATTAACATGTATTAGTATGTACACTCTCCCACAATTACCAACACCTACAGCTAGCTGCTAGTATAACCCTAGTATTAGTAGCATTCTTTAGTTGTTTCTGCCCCTACACCAGACTTGTTCATCATGACTATGTTAGTATTTTGTATAAACACATGTTACAAGCTCTGTTTGTGCTTAGTATTATAAAAGTGGATACTCAAAACCTCACTTGTTAATAGTGTTATTATACCCCCCCCACGAAGTTAGGGGGTATACTGGAATCACCCTGGGTGTCTGTTGTCCGCAGTAACTTCTCCCAAAAACTCCATCTTAACTGAGAGGCAGATTTTATTGAAACTTCACTTGAATAATCAGTATATTATGTAGTTGTGCGCCAGCACTTTAATTTCAGATTTTAACACTTTTTAAGGGAGTTACGGCCCTTTATGCTTAATAACTTGTTCAGATAACTCCATCTTAACTAACTGGTAGATTTTATTGAAACTTCACTTGAATAATCAGTATATTATGTAGTTGTGCACCAACATTTTAATTTCAGATTTCAACACTTTTTAAGGGAGTTACGTCCCTTTATGCGAAATAACTTATCCAGAAAACTTGCTCTACAGACTTTAATTTTGTATATACAAAAATGTATATTGATGAAACGAGTTACCATTTCAGTAAGTTGACCCCAAGGTCAAGGTCACTAAATGATGTGTAAACTACCAGCATCTGCGGGAAGTATTAGTTATCCTCCAAATGACAGTTCTAGCTTTCACAGTCAGTGAAAAAGGAGGGAGGATTGTAGCAGATCTAACCTGGGGTGGTCGCTGGCAATAGGATAGCTAACTATTTAATAGAGTGTTCGACTTCAGATTAAGGGTTTTAGGTTATACCAGTCTGATACATAGCCTCTGAAATGTAAGCCTTGACTTCGAAGAAACTCTGCTGAGAAATGTTTGTGTCACTACAAAGCCATGTCCTCTAGAAAGGCATTCCCCAAATAACTTGGACGAAGCACCTAGTAATGCTAGCCTGTTCCTGACTACAGTGATGTGTGTTTGTTTATAGAGAGCCAGAGTAGGGGGAGAGATAGCATACCGAAGGCAGCAATTTCTCTCTTCCTCCTTCTCTTGGTGCGTCTGGTCCGTGTATTGGCCAACCTCATCCTTCCCCCAGCTGGTCCAGGTAAGAATTAGCCCAATCTGTAGAACACATTTGGCTTTTCACCTTAGTTTAGGACAAGGCTTTGCAGTAAGAATATGAGCATCTAGACATTTTAGGACTCGCACAACTAAATCATTTACTAAATGCTAGTATGCTTTGATTTTAAATTAATAATTAACCATCAGATCTTAAAACCTAGTAAAACTCTTCGTTTTTTCCGGAGTGAGATACAGGTAGTTATAACAATCATGTGGTTTGCCGATTTTGTTAACTTTTTAATGGTTGGCATGATCTTGTTGCGTTTTAATGGTTGGCTGATTTTGTTGCGTTTTGATGGTGCAATGGAACCTGTTTAAGTTTTATGTCTGTTTGCTTTTTGTCAATATAAAATAACAAGACTATGAAGGGACACAGTGAGTGGATTTGAATTGTACTACATTTATCAATGTCGGACTACAGTGTTTAGTAATTTGATAACTACATCTGATCATAACCTGTAGAATACAGTTACAACCTGAAAATGCAAGCAATCCATAAACATAAGGCATGATTTCCTTTTATGTTCATCGAAACCGGGGATATTAAAATGGGTCTGTCCGTCTCTGTCTGTCTGTCACGCTTCATTTCCGTGCAATAACTATAATCAATATTAACCGATTTTCTTCAGACTTGGTCACAGGGTTAAATGCCTTAAGGGCTCGGCCAAGTTTGATGACCCATTTGGCGGAGTTATGGCCCCTTGAATAGTGAAAAACGTAATTATCTGCTGGGTTTTGTTTCTGTGCAATAACTGTAACAAATGTTAACCAATTTTCTTCAAACTTGGTTCAATTTTGATGAAAATTGGTATATAGGGATATTAGGGAACTGTGAGTTCAACCGCATAGGTTTCGTTGCCATAGCAACCACACGAAGGCTTCTGATTGGTTGAAATTTAGATATTTTGTTATTTTTGTGAAAATTGATAAATAGGGGTATTAGGGGACTGTAAATTCAATAGCATACGTTCCATTGCCATAGCAAATACACAGATGATTCTGATTGGTTGCAATTTAGAAATTCAATTTCACTCAAATTTAGTATGTACATTGTAGGTGTACTATGGCAATGCGATCCTTTTCTGACTATGGGGGCAGTTTGAGGGACATCTGTAATGGTCCCCCATTACAATTAGTACTTGTTGCTGTAGATATTGTTAAGATCTTTCAACCAAATTCCTTATGCACATTCAACTCATGCTAATTTTGCCAACCGATGTGATTTGTGCATATTTACGGATAATCAATGCGGTATAGGGCTCTTTTTTCTTCAAGTTTCATGCTATACATTATGTTTCGACAGCACGATACTCAAATGTTTAAACCTAACCTCAATAATGTTAACCTACAATATGTCCTGCAAGCGGGGGATATAAATTCCACAAATTTGCTTGTTCACAATTTTACATTAATCCCACATTTTGTTTCCCATTTGGTTATGTCCAGCAAAATTTGTTATCAAATATCAGATGATTGGATTGTTTTCTTGTCCTTTATATGAAAAAAATACTTTGTAGTCGAGGAGAAAAGAATTCTTTTCTACAATTAAAGGATGCTCTTTCATTATAAGTCTATTTTAACCGTTCATAATGATTTTGGATTTATTGAGGCATTTATATAAGGGCAAGGCAATACTCTGAACATTAATTTTATATTTTAGAGGCCCAAAAAAGGTTAATTAGACTTCATTAAAGTTTTTGAGCAAGTTTTAGTTAAACTAAAAGTCTTTGGTCAAGTCTCTTTTGCTGAGAGTTGGATCCTACAGTCTGGATGCAGTTGACAATTGATAACGTTGAGTTATTTGTATAGAAAGTAAGCAAGCAATGTGTGGAACAGTATCTTTATTCCAGGAGCTGAAAAGGGTTGGAATTAGTTAGACAGTTTGACCAAGTTTTCCATGCAGTGTTTAATCATCGCAGTGAGTTGTTGACTATCGTATAACTGCAGCATTTATATACAGGTGAAGCAAACTTTGTTGAAACTTTTGTTTTTCCCTTTTAGCAGTTAAAAACATTTTTAGTCAGTGTGGTTTGATTTAGCTGACCTCAGATTGTCTACCCAAGCCTACAGACAAGATATATTTACAAATTGCTGTGCAACATTTTATGATGATACAGAGATCTTTCACAACATATTTAACATCACTAGTTACCTAACTTTATATCTTATTAGTACACATGTGATGAACCCCTGAACATTTTTTTAAGGTTACATAATATATAATCCTACCGCTCAATATCCCCCCCCCCCCCCCCCCCCCAATAAAAACCAAGTCATATATAAGTATAAACATTATACTGTCATAAATGTCTATATAATAAACCCTGACTAAGTAACATGTTATTACTTTGTAGTGATACATAAATAGATAAACCTTAGTACATGTACTTCTCATACTTCCTGGACAGTTGTAAGTCAGTTACTAGCTATTCTCAATTATTGGTAAGAAATTAACAGCTTTGTTCACCACACTTGTCTGTCTAAATGTCACACGAGTATTTGTGTGGGTTTCTTCTTGTGCGACTATATAGATACAATAACCCAAATACATATGCACACACAGATGACAGTTTATTTAATCATTCACACCATGAACGGAGACAGTTCCCTGAAATAAAAATTCAATGTCTAAGAGTACATATACGGACACGTGTAAACGTATAACTATATCCACATATATTAATACCATAAAGTATTTGATATTTAGACATTACTTGGAAATAACTATTATATTTTATTTCAGAAACTTACATAACATAATTACACCCTAATTTTAACCCTATGACATGATGTTATAATACCTGACCACGTGTACCCTAATTTAACTTATAGCCTCAGATATTTGACGGCAATATAATTCAAATGCAATAGATTATAAAACCACAGTACTTTATTTAATAATTTGTTAAATAGAAGTAATAGTCTGTTTTATATTATTTTGAATTTAATGTAAGACTTACCTTGCACTGTGGCGGTAACGCACACAGGCAATTCCCATACGTCTTATCCAAGCCAAGGGTTGGTATAGAGTGAATTAACTCACCTGGGTAGAGCCCAGAGTGAGGCTTTTCACGTGCATGGACAGGGTCATAGGTCAAAGGGTCACTCTCAGCCAATACTTGCACCCACCTCTCATACGTCACAATTATAACACAGGTACATTACCTGACACAGACATACATACCATTACACACGATACACAGCGCAAGTATTAACATGTACTCAAATTACATCGTATTTAAAATTCATCTTTTTAAATACTAAATTACTGGACAAACTCTTAATAAGTTTGGCCATCGTGACATAAATATAAGATCTTCTATAACCTTGACAACCTTGATTATTTCAGACAAGCCACAGAGAAAGGGACATGAAACTGCCACGGCCGTCTGCTCACAAATAACAGTTCCTCCTGGTGGCAAGAAAGAGATGGACTTCACACTTGCGTGGGATATGCCTGTTGTACACTTTAAAAACAAAGAGAAACTCTATGGGAGGTATGTCAGCATATTAAACTGCAGAAAGGATTCTCTAAAGATGTAGGTATAGTCTCTGGTGTAAAGATGTAGGTATAGTCTCTGGTCTAAAGATGTAGGTATAGTCTCTGGTGTAAAGATGTAGGTACAGTCTCTGGTCTAAAGATGTAGGTACAGTCTCTGGTCTAAAGATGTAGGTACAGTCTCTGGTCTAAAGATGTAGGTATAGTCTCTGGTCTAAAGATGTAGGTACAGTCTCTGGTCTAAAGATGTAGGTATAGTCTCTGGTCTAAAGATGTAGGTACAGTCTCTGGTCTAAAGATGTAGGTATAGTCTCTGGTCTAAAGATGTAGGTACAGTCTCTGGTCTAAAGATGTAGGTATAGTCTCTGGTCTAAAGATGTAGGTACAGTCTCTGGTCTAAAGATGTAGGTATAGTCTCTGGTCTAAAGATGTAGGTACAGTCTCTGGTCTAAAGATGTAGGTATAGTCTCTGGTCTAAAGATGTAGGTACAGTCTCTGGTCTAAAGATGTAGGTATAGTCTCTGGTCTAAAGATGTAGGTACAGTCTCTGGTCTAAAGATGTAGGTATAGTCTCTGGTCTAAAGATGTAGGTACAGTCTCTGGTCTAAAGATGTAGGTATAGTCTCTGGTCTAAAGATGTAGGTACAGTCTCTGGTCTAAAGATGTAGGTATAGTCTCTGGTCTAAAGATGTAGGTACAGTCTCTGGTCTAAAGATGTAGGTATAGTCTCTGGTCTAAAGATGTAGGTACAGTCTCTGGTCTAAAGATGTAGGTATAGTCTCTGGTCTAAAGATGTAGGTACAGTCTCTGGTCTAAAGATGTAGGTATAGTCTCTGGTCTAAAGATGTAGGTACAGTCTCTGGTCTAAAGATGTAGGTATAGTCTCTGGTCTAAAGATGTAGGTACAGTCTCTGGTCTAAAGATGTAGGTATAGTCTCTGGTCTAAAGATGTAGGTACAGTCTCTGGTCTAAAGATGTAGGTATAGTCTCTGGTCTAAAGATGTAGGTACAGTCTCTGGTCTAAAGATGTAGGTATAGTCTCTGGTCTAAAGATGTAGGTATAGTCTCTGGTCTAAAGATGTAGGTATAGTCTCTGGTCTAAAGATGTAGGTATAGTCTCTGGTCTAAAGATGTAGGTATAGTCTCTGGTCTAAAGATGTAGGTATAGTCTCTGGTCTAAAGATGTAGGTATAGTCTCTGGTCTAAAGATGTAGGTATAGTCTCTGGTCTAAAGATGTAGGTATAGTCTCTGGTCTAAAGATGTAGGTATAGTCTCTGGTCTAAAGATGTAGGTATAGTCTCTGGTCTAAAGATGTAGGTATAGTCTCTGGTCTAAAGATGTAGGTATAGTCTCTGGTCTAAAGATGTAGGTATAGTCTCTGGTCTAAAGATGTAGGTATAGTCTCTGGTCTAAAGATGTAGGTATAGTCTCTGGTCTAAAGATGTAGGTATAGTCTCTGGTCTAAAGATGTAGGTATAGTCTCTGGTCTAAAGATGTAGGTATAGTCTCTGGTCTAAAGATGTAGGTATAGTCTCTGGTCTAAAGATGTAGGTATAGTCTCTGGTCTAAAGATGTAGGTATAGTCTCTGGTCTAAAGATGTAGGTATAGTCTCTGGTCTAAAGATGTAGGTATAGTCTCTGGTCTAAAGATGTAGGTACAGTCTCTGGTCTAAAGATGTAGGTATAGTCTCTGGTGTAAAGATGTAGGTATAGTCTCTAGTCTAAAGATGTAGGTACAGTCTCTGGTTTGGGTACATAGGTTAAACCTGCTTCTGTATGTTAAGATTGAATGGGATGAAATGTTGCTGATAAATATCTCAGTTTTACTTTGTACAAAAACAACGTACGTATTAAATGTTTTTCAATATTTCAAGACTAACTGGTCCCTTTGTCAAGCTCTGACTCAGTCCGTCTTAAAACGTTGCAGCACGTTTAAAATGTACATTGTTTGTGTATAAAGTAAAACTTATATATTACCAAACTGATGAATCTCATTGAAGATGTTGCTGATGGGTTTTTTCACATGCTATGGTCACGGGTTTAAGTACATACATGGCAACTGTAACCCTGTGTTGAGTTTGATGTTTTTGATAAAATTATGTTTCCAGACCATTTAAATTAGTCACTGATTCAGGTACAAGGGTAACACCTGTCTCTGTATTGTGAGATTAAGTGTGATATGAACATCGCTGATAACATTATTTTTTCAGACGATATGGTCGCTGGTTTGGATACAAGGGTGATGCCTGCCCTCGTATGTGTAGCTTTGCTCTAGAAAACTACCCCGCCTGGGAACAGAAGATAGAGGCGTGGCAGAATCCGATCTTACAAAATAGGTACACTGGCTTAAATTTTGAATGATAAAGAAAATATTTATGATGAAATAAACTGTTGAGGTTGATAATTAAGGCTTTTTGACAAATATTTCATTATGTTAGACATAAATGCTTTTGTATGACAGGATATGATTTTCACTTCAATAAGCAAATTTATTCGGTGTTGTGTGCAATTTATTATCTTTAAATAAGTCAATTGTATTATTTGATATTTTTTTATGCATAGTTCATTATAATCACAGAAATAATTCAATGAATGTTTTGCTACTGATGATGAAATTTCATTTTTATGATTTTGCATAATGTTTCTTTACCAGCAATCTACCAGCATGGTACAAGTCAGCTCTATTCAATGAGTTGTATTATGTGAGTGACGGGGGAACCATCTGGGCCGACCCCCTGGAGAGCAAGGACGGGGAACTGTGTATCTACAAGGACAGCAGTGAAGCACCTGTCGTACAGGAATACAGCAAGTTTGCCTACTTAGAAGGTGAGAGAATTCATCAGGGCTGTATTCTATGTGTAGAACTTTAATTTGTAACCTCAAAGATTTGCAGGTTTCTTTATTTCTCCACTATTTTATTGGGGTATGTTGTGTTACCCTTGTCTCTCCAGTCACATCCTATAGCATCCCATCACGACTCACTGTCATCGCTCTAGCGACTTAATTTCTCATCAGATTTTGATCAAATCGATACAAAGGTTAATTATAAGAACACCTTGAATAAAGTTATATATCAGGCTTCAAACTTTGGTAGGGTTATATAGTGGCAATACCATAAGATGATTAATATATTGCAATAATTTTGCAAAATTTTTCAGGCTGCCAATAAATAACAAGAGTAAACCTTTGAGATATAAAATCACTGTACAGTAAGTATAACCGCCATACATCTACTGTAATAATTGTACAGTTAGTAAAAATAGAGTAAATATAATTGTATCACTTTGTAGTAAGTATAAGTGCCAAACAGAAATAAAAACAATGTGGTAATTATAAGGGCTGTATAGTAAATATTCTCACTGACTGTTTCAGGTCATCATGCTCAATTGAATTACATGCAAGTGTTATTTTTGTGGGTTTGCAAGTGTTATTTTTGTGTGGATTTGCAGAAAAGGGTTTGGGATTAATGTTTTCCTTTTTATACAAACTAATTTGTTTTGTTAAAAAAAAATCTTCCTATTTATGCTTTTATTTTCATTTCAATTTTCATATTTTAGTAAGTTAACAAGGATTGGGCGTTAATTTTCAATTCAGAATCAATCACATACGTTAGTTAGAATTGGTTTGTACTAACCAGTGCAGTGTATCAACTATAATAAGAAAAAGATACAATTTAATGTCTTTATTACTTTTTAATTTGTAGTGTTTATGGATTACTAGGTTTTATGACATAAACTCTTCTGTGTTGGCTTCTGTTGTAGATTAATTTGTAGTCTACTAATATCCTACTAAACTCATATTGGAACACTTTCTAGTTGTAATACCTTATTAAGTTTGTAAAAAAATGTGTACGGTTTTCTTGAGTCCCATTTTAAATGTACAACTTTTTAATTCTGAAGAAGTGGTATTGATATCAGAATCAATAGATTGTAACCAGATGTAATTGATGTCAATCAGTGGTTGGCCCATCACAATGCATTAGACAAATATTGGTTTCTTCTTCACAATCTCTTTGTTTAAGGGTATAGTTTGTGAACTAACGCCTTTAAAATCACTCTTGATACTGAGTTTGATAGGTTTAAACATAAAACCTATATCTTATTTGGCACAATGATTGAGATATTGTTTGGAAGATACCATTGATTAAGATTAAATGCCTTAAGATCCAAAGAGGCTGGGTGAAATAAGCATAAATTTGCCTTCTTGCCTCAATTTGAAATATATTTTTTGTTTACAAAAGTAAAGTTCACCAACAGTTGCTGCTAAAGCAATTATGGCTATACCATTAAAGATTTCTTCATTAGAGAAAAGATTGCGAAAAAAACATTGAGTCTTGTCGATATTTTGACTTGAATTGTTTGTAAGGAGTATCTAACTGTACTGTCTTGAAAGATTTTGTGACAAGATGACATATTAAGTAAACACTGAATTACCCCTTGTATTGTTTTATAGGGCACGAGTACAGGATGTACAACACGTACGACGTCCACCACTACGCCTCCTTTTCTCTCATCATGCTTTGGCCCAAGATACAGCTCTCCCTACAACATGACATTGGTAAGCATTATCTTTGGAATAAATATCATGTTGAGCCTTGGTGAAATAAAAATAGCATCCAAATAACATCCAAATTGTGATTGAACAACTTAAACAGAGTCAATATACATAACAACAATGTGAACATCACGGTGAAGTTACAGTTACGATGCTAATCCAGTGGTTTTTGATAGTGTCGATTCTGATGCCACTGCCCTATCATTTCATCATCAAATATGCGATACCTATGTTAGGTGTCAAATAAAAAGTATTGTTTGTATGGAAAGATTTTTTCCACATATTTCAGGGATATAAATGATGTTTGATAAATATAGCATGATATTAAAGTCTTGCTTGTGTGCATAATAGTGAAAATGGCACTCAGAGTTTGAAGAGTAAACTTTTATTTCTCTACTTTCTGTGTCAGGTCTCTTTGTGTCGCCTTGTGTCGCCTGCAACGCGAGGCTACATAAAGGTATTACTTTATCATGGCGGCGGTTGCATCGTCCGAAACAAGGTTTCTGTGCTTTAACTTGAGTTCCCTTGGGTTCCCTTGGGTTGATTGAACTCAAACTTGGTACACATATTGTATACCGATATAGCTTGTACACATATTGCATACCGATATAGCTTGGACAAATTCACATTTCAGAAGTTTGGGTGTGGAGTTATGCCCCTTTTATTGCCAAATAAGGGCATTGTGTATTAAATACAAGCACTTTTTTTTTAATCAATTCCTTTCAAATTTTAATGCTAGAAGCAATAATGTTCAACATATATAACAGGTTTTTCTGTCAATTTTCAACTTTCCGTATTTGGCATATCTGTTTACGCGATAACTCAAACCAAGACACTTTTCCTACTAAAAGTGCTTAGCAGGCGACACATCTACTCCTGTGGAATTCTTGTTTTTGTATAACTAGAAAAATCTTTTGCATCATAGCTTCTGAAATTTCAATACTATTGATTTGTGAAATTTTCTGAATATACACTAAAACTCTTATTTCACATAAACAAGCATCAAGATTAAAGAAAAATGAGAAAAATTCTTGTGATTTTGAATTGTATACCGTAGTTTTCTTTACTTTACTAAGTAAATGTTACACTGGATCTGAAAAAACTGAATTATGATGTTTAACTGTGTATATTACAGCTAAGGCAGTGATGACAGAGGATGCAACACCAATCCATTTCTGTATGGAAGGAATGCGAGGCATCAAGAAGAAGGGTAATTCTGTACCACACGATGTCGGAGACCCAGGTCGGTAAAACTAGAAGCTACTATTATTGTTACAAGTCTGTTTACCATAGATGTATTTGTCTGATTCTAAAACGAAATGTTAATGTTATAAGCAAAGTAAAGAGTAAATTGTCTTTTTTGTTTTTGTAAACCTTCTTTATTTTAATTTTAATTTTAACAAGTAGAGCTATTTTAAATGTTTATACTGAAAGTGTGTATGGCTTCAGGATCAGGATTGTAATGGAGCCTCTATTGTCTGAACAAAAGATCAGTTTACAAAACAAATTTCTGAAAATACAATTAAAAATGAACATAACACGCCTGTAGACAATAAGAAACCGTAGATATTACAGCACTTTGTATATTGAACTTTTCTTGTTCAGGATAAAGTTCTGGCGAAGTTAATATACTGTACAGTACTAGTTGACACACAGAAACACTAAAACCATTGTAAAACCATATCTACTTTAATTGATGTGTTCTGCACTTTGTAGTAGGTAATTACTCTACACTCCCTAATAAATTGGTGGATACTTTTTCAAACATTTAATCACAATTTTGTGTAAAGATTATTAAAGAACGAATAAGAATGTTATTGCCTAATATGATGAAGAAGAAAAAAACTCATTTTCGACATCAAAATTGATCATTGATTCTTGTTGTTACAGAGGATGAACCTTGGGCCAGTCTGAATGCTTACATCATCCACCCCACATGTGAATGGAAAGACCTCAACCTCAAGTTTGTCCTCCAGACTTACCGGGACTTCAGTGAGACTAAGGATAAGGATTACTTACAGAGCATGTACCCTGTGGCAAAGGTAGATTAGCATGACATTGTTGTTCTGGAGTGTTTTAGAATGAAAAAAATGAACTTTGTTTTAATCTTAGTTAATACTATGATGACCTTTTACTCTTGTTAATGTAGCAATTTTAGGGTACCTGGCACAGAAAAGGATGACAAGCATTCATTCTTTTGCATTATAAGACTTATTCTTAAGAACCATAAGTCCTAGGGTCATAATGATTTGCAGTTAGTTTGTGGGGGTGAAGGGGATTTCTTCAAAACAATTACCTTTACTTAAATGCAAGGTCAGAGGGGTCAATTGTACTAAATATCCAAATGAATCGTACATCCCATAATCATGATATTTGATCTGGAGCTTGCTGGAATGAAAGGCTATCATATATATATTAAAGTAAGTGGTCTTTATTTACATTCAAGGTCATAGCAGTAAAATGTTATAAAATTTTCATACATTTCTTATAAACCATGAAGCCTAGATAAATACTTGCTCTTTAGCCTGTTGGAGTCCAGGGCACTATGTGTTTTTAGTCACCCCTGGGGGAACCCCAGCGGGGACTATTAATTTTGGTTTCAGTCCCAGATTTTGACCTCCACTTTTTCAGCTTTCGTGTGTTTGCTTCTGTCGCTAATTACAAGCTTTTGGATAACTCCGATATCGATTTTAGGAATAGATCTAACATACAACCAAAAGGCGTTCCGAATTTCAAACTAAAGATGTTCCGAATATAAATCAGTCACCTTTGAGGTTCCCGAAGGGGTAGACTGTTATATTATATATTGCTATTGATTGATGGAGATGTTTATGTCTGACCAATGACTATATTGGTAAAATTTCTTTTTAAACCAAATTAAATTTTGGAATAAAAAGTTCAGGTAGAAAAGCTCAATAACGTCTCTTTTTCTTTATCATCTATTCACGCAATGACAAAAGAAAACGTCACCTAGCAAAAGGGCAAACTTGATTTGACATGCCGGGTTTGTGTTTGCCGCCGGCACACTACATTAAAAGCATACGCGCAATTTGGCGGACACAAACAACATTTTGTATCGCTTTGCATTTCTCTGCAGTCCGACGAAACTTCTAATCGAACGGCAGGTGCCGAACATGCGGGATTTAAGGGACATTCGTAATCAGTAGGAAGGTGCCGCCTTCCCGGCGGTAAACGGCACGCCTGAATCAAGTTCGTCCAAAGTAAAAAGTTTACGACATTTATGGAAATTGTTTTATTTTTTTAACTTACATACCATTTTCAGCCGTCACATTATAATTTCAAATGGTGATATGTTATAAATAAATGCGCCATCATTCAAACAAATATTTCATCAACATTCATATCCCGCCTGACAACGTTTACAACTTTAGGACACTTTACAACATAACACGTTACGGCAGAACTTGAAATGGAAAACCGGAAGAGTGCAGGGTCATGTAAGGTAAGTAGAACATTGCCATATTCAGAATTTATAATAAAAGCGCTCGACACCGTTTAATGTTATCGTTTCTGCGGTGTGGTGGCAGTGGTGACCTCGAGGTACCGGCAAAACATGGTATTGACATTGTATTCATTTTGAGCAAGATAAAAAGTGTATTAAGCAAAACTGCATATTTATGCATGTTTTTTAATCGGTGATTAATTCTTATGTTTTCCGGACGAAGTTCCGGTAATTTTTGTGTCAGTTTACAGACGATGGCCAAACGTCTAAAATATCTTTGTGTTGTGTCCAGCAGGTCACATAGTAACGAGATAAAGCTTGATAAAATGGCTGCGCGGAAATATATAACGGGCGGAAACCAATGACTAGACGATATTGACAGTTTTACAAACAAATAATTTTTACTGAGAAGTATCAACTGATAATATGGAGTTAAATAACCACGAAAACAATACCAGTACAAACTAGTGATAGGGATTGGAAATTCCTTAATTATCAGCCTTTAGTTTTGGTGAAAATGATTTGCTCCAATATGCATGTTCAGTTCTCTTATATCATTTTTTTTTCATTTTAACAGATGAACTATCTTATCCTGGCACTTTGGCATGTTTGAATGTGGAAGGCCTTGAAATTGGGATGAAGAAGGCCAGGGAATGTCACAGAAATTAAAAAAAAATGAAATTATTTGCAGTGTTTGTGTTTTATGGTCATAAAACATGGAACATTTTCTTCAAGTAAATCAACCACATGCTTTCTTATTATATCCTAGTAGGTTGGCATGGTTACCTAAACAGCGTGTATGCATACCTGGTCATTGTTAGACCATTTTGATTGACAGGTGGAAATATGTCAGTTGTAGCTTGGTCAATGATTTATTATACTGAAATAATCATACAGGAGATGGGGTGACTTTCATGTCATATTGACATATTTCTAGTTCCATATATATAGCTATGACCTATATTCAAGGTATGACTAGTTAGTGTACTGTTGAACCTTGTGTGTATTGTAGACAGTGATGGAGATTGCCCAGAACTGGGACACAGATGGAGACGGCTTAATTGAAAACAGTGGATTTGCTGACCAAACATTTGATGCTTGGTCCATGACAGGAGCCAGGTCAGTTGTCAAAGTAACCTCTTAACTAGGCCAGGTCAGTTGTCATAGTAACTTCTTTACTAGGCCAGGTTAGTTGTCATAGTAACATCTTTACTAGGCCAGGTCAGTTGTCATAGTTATTTATTTTAATTACTAGGCCGGGTCAGTTATCATAGTAATCATGTTGATTTATCCTTAAATTGTTACCTGTTACTTTGTGCTGCTCAGTGCCTACTGTGGAGGAATGTGGCTGGCAGCTCTCAGAATGATGACAGAGATGGGCAAAATTCTTGGAAAAGAAGATGATGTGAAAAAATACACAGATATCCTTGACAAAGGCAAAGTTTCATTTGAAGCCAAGGTCTGGAATGGTAAGTTAACTTATTACATCTAAGACTAATTGTGCTCTAGGTCTCATCCTCAATATGCTCACCTATATGTTCTCTGCACCTCCAGAATATGTCATGAAAAAAGAATTGAAGGCTCTGTATGTGCTATACCTTGTGGATGATACAAGTTCGACTGGTTTGATCCTTTGATGTACATCAAAAGAATAGTATGGCAGCATAAATGTAAAATTGACCAGCTTTGAAATTGGATGTCACTCCTCTAATCTTCAAAAGGCAGGTGTCAGCCCATGGCCAGCGATTGGCCAGTTCTTTTTATCTAAACCCAGTCAAATAGTTTTATCAAAAGTCAATATTATTAAATTGGTAAGGTGGATTAGGTTAATGTAAATGAAGATGTGCAAATTCAGATTAAAATGAAAAGAAATCAAAAGAAGCGGGAAATCAAAATTAAACAGTCAATATGTAAAACAATTGTGACCTAAATCTATATTATCGGAACAACCAGCTGAATATAAAATCATGTAACACCTTTTGTTCTTGTGATTTGACAGGGAAGTATTACAATTACGACAGCAATCCAAGTGGTGGACACCACGACAGCATCATGGCTGACCAGTTGGCTGGACATTGGTTCCTGAAGGCCTCTAGTCTGGCTGACAGCTCGGTAGGTACAACATTAGCATTGTAACAAGGTAAAATAAATAACGGGATCGTCATAGAGGTTTTTGTTGGGGAAAAGAAATTGGTGTTTGAATCTGCTTTCTTTTTTGAAATTTTTATAAAAATAGTTATAAAATAGATCCTTTTTTTCTCTTAACCTGGACAGATTTGTCCTTACTTTTACCGGTGTGAGATTTCCTTGTCTCACCCTAGGGTTGAGACAAGCTACATGTGCTCTTTGCACGTTCTCCACAATAAACCTGACGTCACTGATGTGACCCAGAAGAAGAACTACTTTTATGAGGTCACACACATACACAAGTTTGTCTGCTAATCTTGTCGTGTTTACATTTGACATCAAAGAAGATGGGATTGATTTTAAAATGTTTAAAATATGATGCGTGAACCGTCCGACGCATACATATAATATTAATACGCTACCCACGTGTTCATGTTTACAAACAATATGCTTCGTCTTACACTTGGACAGGAACAATAGGGTGATCTCATCCCCGAGGGGATGAAAGATTTTATTAGTCACCCAGGAAATATATTTTCTATTGGACTAAAAGAATTTTATGCTAAGAATGTAATGACTTCTCAGATATTTTGTATATTTGTTGGGTCATCATCATAATTAACACTGAAATGAAACAAAACTATTCCAATCAACAGTATGCAGCAAGTGTATTGTGTAATCTTAAACCATGAAAAGGTTTCCCTTCAATTAAAACTTACCAGCATTTACTATAAAGAAAAACAACTGAACAAAATGTATAGACTATTATGTCAATGTCTATTGCAGTTATTCCCAGAGGATCATATAAAAAGTGCACTAGAGACTGTGTTCAAATTTAACGTGAAAGGATTTGGCAATGGAAACATGGGCGCCATCAACGGGACACGGCCAGACGGTAGTCAAGACATAACTAGTTGTCAGTCTGAGGAATTCTGGGTAGGCGTGACCTACAGTCTAGGAGCCAGCATGATACAGGAGGTAAGTTACTGGGTAGACGTGACCTACAGTCTAGGAGCCAGCATGATACAGGATGTAAGTCACTGGGTAGGCGTGACCTACAGTCTAGGAGCCAGCATGATGCAGGAGGTGAGTTACTGGGTAGACGTGACCTACAGTCTAGGAGCCAGCATGATAGTCTAGGAGCCAGCATGATACAGGAGGTAAGTTACTGGGTAGGTGTGACCTACAGTCTAGGATCCGGCATGATACAGGAGGTAAGTTACTGGGTAGGCGTGACCTAAAGTCTGGGAGCCAGCATGATACAGGAGGTAAGTCTCTGGGTAGGCGTGACCTACAGTCTAGGAGCCAGGATGATACAGGAGGTAAGTCACTGGGTAGGCATGACCTACAGTCTAGGAGCCAGCATGATAGTCTAGGAGCCAGCATGATACAGGAGTTAATTTACTGGGTACGTGTGACCTACAGTCTAGGAGCCAGCATGATACTGGAGGTAAGTTACTGGGTAGGTGTGACATACAGTCTAGGAGTCAGCATGATACAGGAGGTAAGTAACTGGGTAGGTGTGACCTACAGTCTAGGGGCCAGCATGATACAGGAGGTAAGTTACTGGCTAGGTGTGACCTACAGTCTAGGATCCGGCATGATACAGGAGGGAAGTTACTGGGTAGGCGTGACCTACAGGCTGGGAGCCAGCATGATACAGGAGGTAAGTAACTGGGTAGGTGTGACCTACAGTCTAGGGGCCAGCATGATACAGGAGGTAAGTTACTGAGTAGGTGGGACCTACAGTCTAGGAGCCAGCATGATAGTCTAGGAGCCAGCATGATACAGGAGGCAAGTTACTGGGTAGGTGTGACCTACAGTCAAGGAGCCAGCATGATACAGCAGGTAAGTCACTGGGTAGGTGTGACCTACAGTCAAGGAGCCAGCATGATACAGCAGGTAAGTCACTGGGTAGGTGTGACCTACAGTCTAGGAACCGGCATGATACAGGAGGTAAGTTTCTGGGTAGGCGTGACCTACAGTCTGGGCGCCAGCATGATACAGGAGTTAAGTTACTGGGTAGGTGTGACCTACAGTCAAGGAGCCAGCATGATACAGCAGGTAAGTCACTGGGTAGGTGTGACCTACAGTCAAGGAGCCAGCATGATACAGGAGGTAAGGTACTGGGTAGGTGTGACCTTCAGTCTAGGAGCCAGCATGATACAGGAGATAAGTTACTGGGTAGGCCTGACCTACAGTCTAGGAGCCAGCATGATACAGGTGGTAAGTTACTGGGTAGGCGTGACCTACAGGCTGGGAGCCAGCATGATACAGGAGGTAAGTTATTGGGAAGGTGTGACCTACAGTCTAGGAGCCAGTATGATACAGGAGGTAAGTTACTGGGTAGGAGTTACCTACAGTCTAGGAGCCAGCATGATAGTCTAGGAGCCAGCATGATACAGGAGATAAGTTACTGGGTAGGCCTGACCTACAGTCTAGGAGCCAGCATGATAGTCTAGGAGCCAGCATGATACAGGAGGAAATTAGTTACTGGGAAGGCATGACCTACAGTCTAGGAGCCAGCATGATAGTCTAGGAGCCAGCATGATACAGGAGATAAGTTACTGGGTAGGCCTGACCTACAGTCTAGGAGCCAGCATGATACAGAAGGGAAGTTACTGGGAAGGCATGACATACAGTCTAGGAGCCAGTATGATACAGGAGGTAAGTCACTGGGTAAGCGTGACCTACAGTCTAGGAGTCAGCATGAAACAGGAGGTAAGTCACTGGGTAGGTGTTACCTACAGTCTAGGAGCCAGCATGATACTGGAGGTAAGTTACTGGGTAGGTGTGACATACAGTCTAGGAGTCAGCATGATACAGGAGGTAAGTTACTGCGTAGGCGTGACCTACAGTCTAGGAGCCAGGATGATACAGGAGGTAAGTTACTGGGTAGTTGTGACCTACAGTCTAGGAGCCAGCATTATACAGTAGGTAAGTCACTGGGTAGGTGTGCCCTACAGTCTAGGAGCCAGCATGATACTGGAGGTAAGTTACTGGGTAGGTGTGACATACAGTCTAGGAGCCAGCATGATACAGAAGGGAAGTTACTGGGAAGGCATGACATACAGTCTAGGAGCCAGTATGATACAGGAGGTAAGTCACTAGGTAGGTGTGACCTACAGTCTAGGAGTCAGCATGATATAGGAGGTAAGTTACTGGGTAGGTGTGACATACAGTCTAGGAGCCAGCATGATACAGAAGGGAAGTTACTGGGAAGGCATGACATACAGTCTAGGAGCCAGTATGATACAGGAGGTAAGTCACTGGGTACGTGTGACCTACAGTCTAGGAGTCAGCATGATATAGGAGGTAAGTTACTGGGTAGGTGTGACATACAGTCTAGGAGCCAGCATGATACAGCAGGTAAGTCACTGGGGAGGTGTGACCTACAGTCTAGGAGCCAGTATGATACAGGAGGTAAGTCACTAGGTAGGTGTGACCTACAGTCTAGGAGTCAGAATGATACAGGAGGTAAGTTACTGGGTAGTTGTGACCTACAGTCTAGGAGCCAGCATGCAGTCTAGGAGCCAGCATGATACAGGAGATAAGTTACTGGGTAGGCCTGACCTACAGTCTAGGAGCCAGCATGATACTGGAGGTAAGTTACTGGGTAGGTGTGACCTACAGTCTAGGAGCCAGCATGATACAGGAGGTAATTAGTTACTGGGAAGGCATGACCTACAGTCTAGGAGCCAGCATGATACCGTAGGTAAGTTACTGGGTAGGTGTGACTTACAGTCTAGGAGCCAGCATGATACAGGAGGTAAGTTACTGGGAAGGCATGACATACAGTCTAGGAGCCAGTATGATACAGGAGGTAACATACTTGAAACAGGGTACTTTACAGGTTGGTGAGGGATATAAGTCAAGTCTGGGTGTACTGTTATCTCAGAGGTTCAAATCCAAAAGTCTTAAGTAGATTGTTAGGAATACAATATAAAAGTTTTAGGGTTCTGGTGCTCAAATATTTGAGATTAGATGAATATTTGAATAGACAGGTGCTATACCTTCTTTCAAGATTATGCTGCTGAAAGTTTTTACTTCTATCCAAATGTTTTTTTAGGCATCCCTGGGGGAACCCAGCAAGGACTATTAATTTCAGTTTCAGTCCTAGATTTTAACATCTGTTGCCTATCACTCTGAAGAGCTTTCGTGTGTTTGCTTCTGTCGGAATATACCAGGCGCTAATTACAAGCTCTTAGATAACTCAGATACAGATTTCCTTTTCAAACAGGAATAATATACAACCTGAAGGCGTTCCAAATTTCACATGGGAATTACATATAACCTAAAGATGTTCCGAGTATGAATCAGGCACCTTTGAGGTTCCCGAAGGGGTAGTCTGTTATATTAAGGATTGCTGTTGATTGATTTAAATATTTTATGTCTGACCAATGACCATCGACTACCGTAAATATTCGCGTAAAGTGTGCACCTTTTTAAAGAAAAAATGAAATTGTTAATAAAGGGGTGCGCAGATACTCAAGAACAATCCAAAACCAGTCGTGGTTGCGACCATTTGATTTATCGTGAATTTTTGGGGATTTTCAGAAAGGTTTTGAAATATGCTCGGAGCAATAAACTGTTAAATTTTGTTTAATAACTCCTGATTGCATTGTCTATCTAACCATTATGAAAAATTAGTAGGCCCAACTTGCAGGTACGATACCACGTATGGGGAAACATAACGAAGAATTGCATCGTAATAAGCACTCTGGGGTTAAAATACCGTTCTTGGGTAAAATCATGCTGAACTATTAAATCTTGACAGTAGGAATGTGTCAAAACGACATGGGGAAATTAAGTGGCGAAGTTTGCAAGTTTGTGTATTGCAAAGAGTCAAGGTCAAGTGATAGTATTTAATGGCAGGAACTCACAATGTCACATGCATGCAAAACAGCCAAATACATTCAAAACTTTTCTTTTCAAAGAAGAATTGCTGAAATCACTACTCTTTTTTGTTTTTCATGTCTCATAAATTTGACTGTTGGCGGTCCTCGTCAGACGTGTTTGAGTGACTAGCTTTAACAAAGTGTACACACCCTGCCGACAGGCCTATCAATGTCTGATTCAGTCAGATTCGCAGACGATCAGAAAACTACTTTGAATCATGTATTTCATGAAAAAAAAGGGAAAGATTTATCCGTATTTATGATTGAATCTTTTCTGAAAGTTATTGTTGTGAAAACAACAATTGTGATTTTTTTATACTGAAAATGATCATATACAAATGTAGGAGATGGGGTGATTTTCATGTCATTTTGACATATTTCTAGTTTAAGTCTGCTTTTCAGATATAAGATGTTATTAATCAATAGATTTGCATACAGGCTTGACTTATTTGATGTGGTATGAGACTGCAGAAGAATGTACGTTGCTGTGAAAACATATTTCGTGATAAAAGAAATTGTAAAATTATGCCTTTTAACGATACGGTTGGAGACACGACCAATGGTGTGTTTAGGATTCTACTGTTGGTGACCAGTGGTAATAAATGGCTGTACCCAGTAGATTGTGGGTAACTATGGTTACCAGTGGTAATAAATGGCTGTACCCAGTAGATTGTGGGTAACTATGGTTACCAGTGGTAATAAATGGCTGTACCCAGTAGATTGTGGGTAACTATTGTTACCGGTGGTAATAAATGGCTGTACCCGGTAGATTGTGGGTCTCTATGGTTAACGGTGGTAATAAATGGCTAATACCCGGTAGATTGTGGGTAACTATGGTTAACGGTGGTAATAAATGGCTGTACCCGGTAGATTGTGGGTAACTATGGTTACCAGTGGTGATAAATGTCTGTGAGTATAAAGAGTTTGGCAGTATATCTGGTTAACCGGTTAGCATTATATGTACCCGGTAGTTTGTGGGTAACTATGATAACCAGTGTCAATAAATGGCTGTACCCGGTAGATTGTGGGTAACTATGGTTACCAGTGGTGATAAATGTCTGTGCCTGGTAGATTAGTGGGTAACTATGGTTACCAGTGGTAATAAATGGCTGTACCCGGTAGATTGTGGGTAACTTTGGCTACCAGTGACAACATTTTGCATTGTCAAAACTAAGAACAGTTATTGACCTCATCAGATGGTGGCCTATGATGTGAAATGTGTTCAGTTTTGTGCCATAGGAAATATGGTGCATTTTTTTCGGAAATGATTCATTCGATTCTGATAGAATGTCCCGCCTTTTTTCACTACATTAAAGCTAAAAATCACTACTGATAATTAGAACTTAGCATTACAAAACCTTCCAACCAAAAGATGTTAAAGGAATTGTTTTCTTAATATTCAGGGCACTGCATCTTTAATCCAACTCAGTGACCCTAGAACAGAAAAATATTGTGGTACATGTAGCCTCATTACTTAATAGTTATACTTTCCGTATCCTTGACATTAATCCGAGATTAAGTTTAGAATGACTGGTATGAAATGTTACTGATTGATTTCAATTCCTCAGCATTTAGTAGTCCTCCTGCTGTGGGTATAAATTGAGGTAATTAAACGAGTGACAATCCTAGTGAATCTTCGATAATCATCAGTCCTAGTCAATCTCCAATAATCGTAGATCTTTGATAAATACAATTCATTAGCCGAGAGATTTATTGCATAATCTTCCATCTGTGAGCTTGAGCAGTTCAGCAGGGGGAAACCTCCGGATTTCACTGATGGCTTTATGTCCAACCCAATCAGCTTTAAACCTTACTGTATTCCTACAGCTGCTTGTAAAAACATTTCTAAAATAATGATTATATATTAAATAAGTAACAATCCATGAAAGTGATAATTTTGTCTCATTATGTTTAGATTTATGAACTAAGAAAAATATGCTTGGTATACTGCCAAAATTGACCATACTTTTTATTAACAAGAAATTGAAGTTCATGATCAATGAAAATGCCAGAACTTGCTGTTTTTGTCAATTATGATGTAATTAGATTGCTGAAGTGTCACCATCATTATCTCGACATCATCAGGCTGAAATCTCAGAAAATACTGGCTATTATATTAAACCTACACTGATTTAATTTATGCATATTTTTTTTTATATCTGTTGATAAATCTTTATTGCGAATTATGAAAACATTTCCTAATTCTGATATTTTCTCTCTCCTTGTGAGGATTGCTCAGGTCATTACCAGTGGCGGATCCAGAGGTTTTTTTTGGGCTTCAAGAAACCCCCACCCTGAGAATTTGCTTTAAAAATCATGTATTTTCACCATTTTCCTCAACTTTTCCCTACATGGACCCCCCCCCAGATAGGTCTCTGGATCTGCCACTGCGTTCTGTCCATTTAAGGTCGAACTCCTCATTCAGGCTGCCAGCTTTAAATGGATGTTCAGATGGATTTGTCAGAGTCAAAACAACAGGACTAAAATCTTGTCATCTTAAAGCTCTGGTAGCACAGCATTAGGTTCTTGTCTTTGTTTGATTGACAGACACATTTTTCACTGTTGTTTTCAGGGGGTTGGAGGGATCACTATTTATACATTTCATAAATTCATTAGCATATCACAGAGGTGGTTCATCGATGATTTGTCGACAACCCTCGATAAGCCTCAGGTTTCACCTAATTTGAACAAGCTATAGGTGGAATTTCCCAGTTCTACACTCCTTGGCTTGAACTATTCTTATGTCCGGTGCATACATTGCAGTTTTGGCAGTTTCTCTAAGGGTTTCTCAGGTTCAGTCTTCAGGGATTTCTCATAGCTTTCTCAGGTGGAGGATGCCTGTCTCTATAAAAAATACTTGTAATATGCAGAGTTTATGTACTATCCCAAGGCTAATTATGTGACAACACATTTTGTAAGTGGCTTCAGCTAGTATTCCTTAGCTGAAAAGATTTTATTTTTTATTTTGTGAAATAGGTAAATATAATGAGATTCCTATTTTCAAATAAAACAAATTATTATCATCAACTTTATAGTTCAGCATGATTCACTTCATGGTAGCTGTAGTGACAGCTTTCCCTTGTTTCACAGTGGTGTTAATACTTACCTAATACATATTGTGTAATTATGTCTGTTTAATTTTGTTAACAGGGGATGATAGAGGAAGGGTTCCAGACAGCCTGGGGTGCCTACCATGTCTGCTGGGAGTGGTATGGCCTGGCATTCCAGACTCCTGAAGCCTACATGATGGACAAGCACTACCGATCTCTCGGCTACATGAGACCACTGGCAATATGGTCAATACAGTGGGCCCTGGAGAAGTTCCAGCCACAGCTTATGTCCAGTTGATGATGAGGTCATCTAGACTGACCAGTCAAGGTGATGTTGTCCAATCACTTATCAACTGACCAGTCAAGGTGATGTTGTCCAATCACTCATCAACTGAATCAGTCAATGGTCAAAATCATTGTGAGAAATCATTTACTGATGAACAATGGGTCCAGTCTTAAACAGATATCTTGAGTAATCTAGCAACATACTTATAAAATTTCATAATTTATATCACTATATTTTAATAATTTTATACCTCACTGACCTTTTGAAATGTATGTATCATTCTTGTTTGCTCTTAAATTTCTAGTGTTGTAATTATTGCTGAAAATCTATTGGATCAATGAATTAATTTTCTAAACAAAACATCTGTACCTCAGGTATGTGTTATGAACCTGTGCTGGAATGAAAACTTGATGGAAACGGAAAAGAGTCTTCTATTCACAACAATGAAACTTATAAGACTGTTAAGCTTTAAGAAAATGTTTAAATATTGACCAGTAATTATTGTAACATGTGTACAGTAAAACCTTGATATACCGCCACCTTCTGCACTCTGTCCTCTGTGATTTTGGCAGTATAAAGAGTTTGGCAGTATATCTGGTTAACCGTTTTGGACTCAAGTGTTCACACACTAACTGAACTATAAAGATTTTATAAAAGGCACTGGTAAAAAGTATCCTTCATGTATAGGATTTGTACGTACATTGTAAGTTCTCTGGCTTGTAGCATCCTACAAGTCCCACCAGGACATTTTCTGTATGTTATCTTGCTGCCAAACCAAACCTCATTGATATGAAGTTTATTTCATTTACATTTTGCATTTACTATATAATAAAAAGCAATACATAATTGAAAATGGATTTGGAAACAAGTTTTATGCATAAAATTTATTTACACAATGGAGCCAAATTGCAATTTTCCACCACTATTTCCACCACTATTCCATTTTTTTTTATCCTGAAAAGTTGAACTCTCCTCTTTTTTGTCTGAATTAACTAGATCCTGTTGTCCCTCTTGCTAAAAGAATTAAATGTCATTTTTGCCAGATTGTTTTTGGGTAGAACTTTTGTTATTAATATATTTAAAAAAAAAATATGTATACATTTATAGACAAACTTATTTATTCTGATATGATTTTTCAACCAAAGATTTGGCATTATACAGGGGTTAGCATTATACAGGGGGTTAGCATAGCATTATACAGTGGGTTAGCATTATACAGGGGGTTAGCATAGCATTATACAGTGGGTTAGCATTATACAGGGGGTTAGCATAGCATTATCCAGGGGGTTAGCATTATACAGGGGGTTAGCATTATACAGGGGGTTAGCATTATACAATGGGACAAGTGTAAAGGAACTGTTTACAAAACACTTAACTGGGACATATATAATGGTGGTTAGCAGGAGGCTCAATAATACAAGGGGCATTACAAAGTTGTCTTTCCCTCAGACTATAACATTGTATATTTGTAAAAACCTCTTGATATTAATAAGCAATTTCACAGGGCAGTAATATTCATTCGTAATTTCTATTGAAAAGTCACACAAATCTATTTGTAAACAATGTCTTCAGATGTTCAATGGTATAAATAAGATGTATAAAATACTCTTAAAATGTGTTAGACTCTTGACAAAGTGCTGCTCTTAGAAGATATAGTATTCAGTTCTTGAATAGGATTTACCCTATTTGTGTAATAATAAACTAACAAATTAAATCTGATGTGAATAGAGTATAAATAATTAGTAACAGAATCCATCAGGAATAAAGGAAAATAACAAAATCCAGCAATGCTGAATGTTTTGTGTGAAAGTGAACTTCTGAAAATTATCAGTGTTGTTTTCTTTTTGTATTTTTTTTTCTACTGATGATTCAAAATCAAATTAGTATTATATAAATGTGCATGATGGTTGAATGTTTTCAGATATAAATATTTGGGGGGGGGGGGGGGGGGGGGGGGCCCTTCCATGTGACCCCATCACCCACTGCCGAAGCCTCCCCTAGCCATGTGACCCCATCCCCCACTGCCGAAGCCTCCCCTAACCGTGTGACCCCATCACCCACTGCCGAAGCCTCCCCTCCCCATGTGACCCCATCACCCACTGCCGAAGCCTCCCCTAACCATGTGACCCCATCACCCACTGCCGAAGCCTCCTGATGTTAAATTTCTTATTGTTATGTCTTTGATGTTAAATGTTAATCTTGTTTATTTCATTGAAGATTGAATAAGCTGCATTTAATGTTATTGATAAAGGGCCTGTCACACCTAGCCGATTTGAGTTACCAGGGGTATACTGGAGTATGGCAGTGATCCATAGACTCAATGCCCTTATATTGATTATATACATATCAGGATACCTAGTTGTTGATTTTGATAAAACTAGTTATGATTTTTTATCTTATGTCAATCAAAAGGTTTGAATCACGAAAAATATCAGAACTTGTTTTCAAAATCTAAAATATTATTATTCAATCTAGCTCATTACCTGTTTTGTGCAGGCATTTTTTTGTGTATTTAATGAGACATTTCAAACTCTCTTGACATTGAGAAAATGTTCATTTAAAATTCTATAGAAACTCATGTTTGAGATGAAGGTCCCCAGCTTGACAAAGTCATTTTTGAGATGAAGGTCCCCAGCTTGACAAAGTCATGTTTGAGATGAAGGTCCCCAGTTTGTTCTCTGTGCAATGTTACTTTTAGAGGGACACTGACAAAAATGTTTGGATTGATAGATGTTTTGAAGTTATCAATGGTGTTTGGATATGGAAGTTTAGAAACTATGTTTAATGAGCAAGTTTCTTTATTTATTTAGCTATACATCTGTAGACAAAATTATGAAGAAACAATGTTGCATTGAGTTATCAGCCTAAAAATATTTGATTTTCTGTTTTTATTCTGTTTTGTTATATATTTATTTTTTGTTTTCATTAATGTAAGACTTTCCTTCCCTATCAATACTTTTCAGCATAATACCGAAATGTTTTTTTGAAATCCCTCTATATAGATCATACCTATCACATGTTGATATATAAATCTGAAACAGCTGAGTTTTGTTTAATTTTAAGAGTTTAGTTGAGAAATGACAGAAATTGTTTTAATCAACTTACTATATAACACTACATAGGTAATTTCTTTGGTGGTTTGAAGCCATTTAGATTTGTTTCGTGATACAAACTTTCGTGGATTCCTCATATAAGCAAACAGTAGTCAAGAATATAATTAAATTTGTTGCATTTAATTTTTGCGGTTCCATAACAACCACGAAAGTGTATACGCAATGAACATTTCATGTCACACATACAGGTAATAAGTTATAAGGAACCCTGTCTAAACTGAACATTATTTTATTTCAGGAAAGTGTGATACACATATTTTGTTTTTGATGTTTTAGTTTTATATTTTTATTCTACATGTACCTCTTAAGTGCTGCATGAAAACTGGAAAATGAAGTATATTTATAAATAAAAAATACTTAGTTGTCCTAGTACAGAATACAAAAATGTGAACTACCTGCTCAATTTACATACAAAAAACGTGTTCAGTTTGATTATCAGGAAATGTAGATTTTTCATATTTGATTCTTGCCTTCTTAGTAGGAAAATTCAAAGAGATTAAATTTGTTATCTTTCTTTTATGACATGGTTAAGTGTCATCGTTCGGATCTAGTCTTTATATACCTCAACTTCATCACTATATCAAAGTAATTTGTTAAATTTATGATATCCTCTCTAATATCACAACTTCTCTGACCAAGGAGTTTGCCCTCTAGCAGCCATGGAGGGTATAAAGACCTTATCCCACATACTTGTTGTTGATCCTGAGACAGCGATGCTGACTCTGTGATAGGTTTTCGAAAATTACAGCTGGAATGTTTTCTTTTTAAAATGTCTGCACATTTTGTATATTAAAACAGAAAAGCATAGGATTTGGAGAAATAGCAAGTTCTGATTTTCCCGAACTAGGTCAATTTTTCAACACAGCTTCAATTTGGGAAGACCTGGTTGCAGGGGATAAGAATCTTACTACCTATATCCCTCAAATCCAAGCTTTGACTGTATGTTTAAGTCGTACTCCGTCAATCCCAACTCCATGGTGTCTTACGATGCTGCTGTTCTTTTTTTTTCATCAATGTTTACCTGATGTGGAATCACTTCTATATATCCTATTTAAGAAAGAAAAAGCAAATTGAATGTTTTTTTCATATATTTCCTGTGCCTTTTTCAGTGGCCCGATACCACTACAATGTAGGACTATTGTAGAAGTCAGGGACTATAGACTATATCACCTCTGTGTGATGTTTCTGTCTGCATCACACAGGAGGGACTGATTAGTGGAAGATTTCCTGGAGAGGAAATGTTCGCCTTGAATAAATTAGCATAAAATATCTACACAAGAATATTGATCATAGATATATAGATATCAGAACTATTACAAACATTGACAACTTTCCCATGGCAGTCTGTTAACAGGTTACAACGCCGTCATAGTCACACTTACCGTATTGTTCTACCACACACTACAACCATTAGTCTTAGTTGTAATGGTTAATCCAATGCACTGCTTTATGTTCAATAGGCCATAAAATATGTGACAGAATTGATGATGTGGCAGTGGTAACACCAAGGTGACATGTTCAGAACACCGCATGTTCACAATAATAGCTTGTGCATGTTCAGAACAACTGTGCACATTCAGAACAACTGTGCAAGTTCAAAACAATAGTGCATCTGAGCTGTTTTACCCTAGGTAGGTGAGGACAGGTTTACGTTCCTAGTAAAAAAGGACAAATACGCCTGTAAAGTGTGGGACAAGTATGGGGTCTGATCATTGGTCTAGATATTTAATCCTATTCTTTACTGAAACATCTTTTCCCTTACACTTCGAGTGTTTGTTGTAGATCATTGTTGTGTATAAACATGTATTTACAATATTCTTATTAATTCTCAAAAATTAATATATAAAATAATCCAATGCAAAAAATGTATTCCTTTCTACAAAATTATATGTTACATGAATATGCAAATATAAAAACATAAGAAGAACATGACTTATTGTATTGTTAGGTGATTTGTTATTTTAATGCTTTATGGTGACTTTTTCATTCTCACTTCAGCTGTATTAAAAAACGAAGCATGAGGATTTTTTTATCCTCACTTTTGGAGTTTTGTTTTTCACAACTAAAAGTGTGAATGAGTTTATTTATGATTGCCCTAAAAGTTTATAAAAATTGAGGTATTTAATGCTTTAAACACTTAAAGCAAATCTAGATTATCAATATTTATTAAAGTTTAACCTTTGAAATATTTGTGATTACAAGGTTGACATATATCTTTATCTCTACTGAAGGGAAAACAATTGAAACATTATATATTCACATGTGAAGGTGTAACTTTTAATTAGCAAAGTAATTTCTATTCACTGCATTCTAAGTTGCAAGTTTTTAGTTTCAGATGAACTGTTAGAGTGAATGGTTTATAACCCTTTCAGAATGGTGTGCAGCCTTGTTGTCAAGGGTAACATCAGAATCTGGCGTCAAAACATATGCTATTGATTCCCAAACTTTTTTATGCATATTTTTTTCATTTATTATTTTGAAGTGTAACAAATAAAAATTATAATTGTTTTCCAGCTGAGTATCATATATATTTTACTTGTACGGCAGAATAAACAGTTTTTTTCACTCCTACTTTGCACTTGTGGAAAATATTGGTATTCTGCAATACTCCTAAAATATATCCAGCATTCCAGTGGTATGGCAGAATGAACTTTGCTTTGTGAAAAATATCTTATTTTGCCATACTCATGAAATACATATGGTATTTACCAGGGAACAACAAATATCTCTAGTTTCTATGGAAACTGGTTGATACTGGTTTTGATGTAGATATAATATACATGATAAAAATGGGTTTTAGAATCAAAATTAGGTCGGGTTACATCTTGCACATGTGATAACTTTGTATAATCCTAACACATGTATCCCTATTGTAAGTT